GAAGAAGAAGAAGAAGAAGAAGAAGAAGAAGAAGAAGAAGAAAACCAAGAAGAATTACCTTAAATACGTATTATGTAAGCCAGGGGAAAGACTCACAGTTTCCGTATACACCACGCCGTCACAGATGAACGTGCCAAAAGTCCGCGCATTGGCTTTCGGCCATGTGATGGTGAGCTCACTGCTGCTGCTGCTGTATTTGCTGTCCACAATTTTGCCAGTTGCCACGATGTCACTTATCATCGTATGTGGGCTGGAATCTGTGTCAGACACATAAGCCAACGTCTCCCAGTTATCCTGGGGAGAGAGAGAACATGGCGTCAGTTCATAAATACCTCGTGCAGTAGGAAACATGTAACACCTAACCTTCTCGGGTCATCATCATCATCATCATTGCCTTAGCATCTGCGTTTGTTGCCATCTTTGTGTCCAAAAGTTGCCACAAAGAGTGGCAAAAGTTGCCATAATAGTTGTTATTAATTTTCAAGCTTTCAACTCTCTATGACGACGTATATAGCCATATGCTGATAGAGATAACAATCTAAAGCACCAGAATTTCAGGTGCTGTTTTAAGCATCCAGAATATCATTTGTTGCCACTCAGAGTGTAAAAACGTTAAAAATAAAGGTTTTACAATAGACTGAAATCAAAATTAGAACAGCCCGGATTTTAAAAACCCCCAAAAAACTAACAAATAAGGGCGCGTGTCCACTTATCCGAAGATTGGCCATTTTAACCCTAAACGTGTGTAATTCAAGAAAAAAGTAGGCCTACAGGATATTACAAGTAGATTGTGGAATCACACACATGGGGCGTGCCAGTATCAATATTCGGTTTTAGCAGAGACGCACTCTAACATAACACATTTGTATTCTTAAAAGGGTAGGAACAGCATCAAATTAAATGACATTACGCTGTACAAACACACTCACACAAAAATATAAAAAACCCCACTTCAGAACAATTTTAACAAATTAACACACCAACAAATTAAAACACAACAAAGAGGGAAAAAATAAAAGACAAACAGCAATATAAATAGTATGTAATGTAGGCCTACTTATATTCTCCGCATGGGAATAGCTACACATGGAAATCTTAAAACTTACCAAAATACATGTCTACTATGTTATGAAGTAGCTTTGCGTTGTGTTTATTTTTTTGTTTCAATGCAATAATCACGGCCGCGACGTGGCCACGACAAACGCAGATATAAATTTGCCTTTCCCTGCCTGCACCGGAGTATAGGCCACGGACAAACACCTTCCACCTTTCTCTATCCTGGGCTAGCCTCTTGATGTTATTCCATGTCTTCCCACTTTTCTGTAACCTTCTCGGGTAAGGGAGAACAATCTCGGGGGTCCTGCGTGCAAGTTGCGCACGTTTCAGATACCTTGGTGGTCCTAAAATCGATAGGAGGAGTAGGCTTCGACCGCCACCGGGCAAAATTCAAAATTTCTTACCAACTGAAAAATGTTTAAATGTGTCCCGCGCATTCATATGATCTTCTGCAGCTGTAAGCGCCGTAAAACACTCGCCAATAAAAAAAACCCCAAACCCTGTGCAGTAGGAAAACATGAAAGAATCCATTTTTCACGCAGGTGATTTCTACGCCTTCATCGACACAATAAATGTGAGGTAGCGTGGTGGAATCAGGCTCTCGTCAATTTTTGGACATGTAGAGTTATTGGTATCATCTTAAAGCTTTTTCACTTGTCTTTATTTGGATGAAAAAAATATCCATTTATCTTGAATATAAGTCGAGATATTTGCAATTGAAGCAGCTGGGGGTCACTTGTTTTCAGAGGTAGAATTAGCGAGAAAATGGCCGCCAAAGACTAGTTATTTCCTTAGCTTTAGAGTCTGTGGTAACTGAAAATTTACTTTTTTTGTATGCATGTAATCAATGTTTTTAAGAAAAATCCACAAAAGAAATGAGTTCTTTAATGAGCATGAGAGGTGTTGAGCCAAAAGACAAAAATTTGATAAAAATTCACAAACCTGCGGAAAAATGCAGGTTTCTTCACTTTGAGTATTTTGACGAGAGCCTGATTCCACCACGCTGCCTCACAAATCGTTCAGGAGGCGGGTTTCGAGATTGTGTGTAAGGACCAACCCGGGCTGAGAGGGATGCTACGTCCCATTAGAAAGACCAAGATGCTTGATAAAAGATTCTCCCCGCACGGGAATCGAACTCGGGTCTTCAACATGCGACGGCAAAGCGCCTAACAGCTACACCACAGACACCGGTCAGAGTAAAACTATAGTTATCAAAAACAGAGAATAGAGAAAGAATATAATGTTGTTGACTCCGATCTGCTTCTTTCTGTGTCTGTCTGTCTCTTTCTCTCTCTCTCTCTCTCTCTCTCTCTCTC